AATTTGGGAAAAGGTTTCCAGGCAACAATCATCAAATCAGTCCAATTCCAGGTCCAGTTAAGGTGTGACTATGTAGAGACTCCTTTACAAATTACACATGACCATGAGGGTGGATTCTATAGCTAACAGGCCTAGAATCTAGTGTGGTCTCTGGGCGACCACATCGAGGTCAGAAGATATACCTGGGACTTCTCCCCCAATGATTGGTAACTGCAGCAGGGAAGAGTGAGATAATCATTCTGGGGAATTTGGGTGAGGTCTGCCTCCACAGATAACAAAAAAGTCACGAGGTCATTAACAAAAGCCACCCCCAGCCTTCTGGGCAGGAAAGTGGGTATTTTACCTCCTCCAGTGAGAAAATTCCCTTTGTGTTTAACCTCTCTGGCTTCCCCAGTGGTCTGTGAGTCCCCCTTCCCCCAGCAACACTCATATACCTATAACATGTGTTACAAGGCAATATATGTATGCACTTGTTTTTCTCTAATGGGAGCTGATCAGGAAGTCATCACTGACAAGGAACAAAAGTTGGGGGTGTTCCACCTCACAGACAGACCCTCTTCTCTATGGCCCACACTCACCTCTGCTTCCCATGGCCTTCCTTTCTTCTTCTCTGTGTCTCCGTCTGACCCTGGCAGATGGCAGCTCTCAATGACCCCCACTTTGTTCAGGCAGGTGACAAGAAGCATAGAGAAGGCAGAAGCTGGAGACTAGGGACAGCTGCCCTTACATGTGGGGCTTATATCCCACAGGTACCCGCCCTTCCCTGTCCCTGGTCCAGCCACACAGTCCAAGCAGAGCCAAGAAGAACCAGCCCCATTCTCATCTGTCCTCCGGGACTAGGTGGTAGCTGCCCATACATGAGGCTAAACCGAGGGTTACTGGGTTCTCTCTTCAGTGTTTCTGTGCCTCCCATACACACACCATTAACACTACCCCTTAGCACTGAGTCCCCTCAGTTGGGCCGTGTTTCCTTAGCAGGAGTGTGGGCCAAGCAAGGGGCCACCCTGTACAGGTTAGGCACAAACCATGCTATTGTTTCAACCTTCCCTGGAAACATGGGCTCCCTCCTATTTTACTAAAAGAAAAGTTAGTTCTCCTTTTGTGGATTTCATTAAAACAGAGTTGGAGACTGAGCTAGAACTTAGCTTTTGTTCAGATAGATGGCATTTTATGTGGAAACGTGATTGGCAAACAATATAAAATTTTAAACTTAGGCTTTTCAATAAAATTATTAGAAGATTCGTGGAAAAATGAGAAGACAGGCCTTGCTGATGCTTTTCTCAGGTTTGAATGAGCTGGGGAAGAAAGGCTTTAGAGCCATTTGCTGGTTATTTTTACAGTAAGTGAGGACCCATCAAATAGTCCTTGGGTTGATGGAGTAGCTGCAGGTCCTATAAGCTTCGGCACAGCTGGGTTCCTAGTCCTCCACACAGCTGGGTGGCATGCTCCTTTGTATTCTGGCCACTGCAGTTTGCTTCTGTTTGTGAAGGGCAGTGCTAAGGAAAAGAGATAATATAACCAGGGAGTGAGCAGAGGAGGTGCCCACTAGACACCCATTGGATCCCTGAGCTGCAGAGACCCAGATTTTCCCTCATGAGTGGGCACACCATTAGGGTGTGAACTGGGAAGAGGACCAGCTATCTCCTCTGTCTGGAATAGGAAGTCAGGTGAACACCAGAACTCAGTGAATGAAAGGCCACAGCCTCCTTCTGGGCAGGGTCAAGGGTAAGCAAACAGTATAAATAGTGAAGGCCTAGAGGAAAATGGTTTTGCGGGATCCAGAATGTTTGTTCAGTGGGAAGAAGGCAGAGCATGGTGGTGATCCATTCAGCCAAGCTGCGGTATAAATCCAAGAACTGTTTTTAAGGGCTTGTTTTTTTTTCAGGCTAGCCCTTACTTATTTTTTTTTCAATAGTTTGGCTATTGTCTGGAAACTAGAAAAAACTAACCAATCATTGTAACGGATTTTAGCTTCTTGGTTAATAAAGACTTCCAGAATGTGTACGTGGATCTCAGTGGAAGAGCCATTAGGTGAAAGAATTCAGTTTGCTACCAACACAGCCATTTATTTGTGAGGCTGCCTTTGTGAGATGAGGGAAGAATTTGCCCACAGAACCAGGCTGCTGTGAGATTCCCTTCTGTCCCTAAGTTCTCAGAGACACCAGGGTGGTGGGCTGGAAAAGCCTCCTTCAACTCCACTGATGGGTTTGCCCAACTGCTGTTGTTCGGTTGGTTTGAATGTAGACTGGGAAGCTTCAGCCCACTGACTGCGGAGAAGAGGGACCAACCAGAGCAGGCCCTGCTAATTAGCCTGGAGGATAGGAAGTCTGCAGTGCTGGGAGACAGCCGCTGGCCTCTCCTTGTGCTCCTCTCCAGAGAGAGCCATTAACTACCCTTTGTCCTGGGCCATCTTTGCAGGAATGTGCTAATGACCTTGGAAGAGGAAGCTAATGTCTCCCTCCAGAGCAAAAGACAGCTTTGCTAATTATCCCGAATAATCAAGACAATGCCCCCTTCAGTAGCAAAGGAAGGCTTCCTCAGAGCTCCTCAGAAAGATCCAGGTTCCCTGAGCTCAGAGTCCTCAGCTGCCTGCCACCACTCACGGAGTGGGATTCTCGGCTGGGCCCACCCGCAGCTCCGTGCCCTGTCCATTGTCTTCTGCCCGCTCCATCATGGAGAGGCAGATGAAGTAGGCAGCTGCACGCTAGACAAAACCCTGGATGTGTCCCAGTTCTTACTAGTCACGCTATAGAAAAGCCACCATTTGCAGACATTGGTAGAGAACGTACTGGAATTATACTTCATATGTAGAGCTGGAATTTTTTATGTTAGTTTTATAATACGATTTGAATTAACAGAATTTTAAAAAAATCTTTAAATGTGGACTATTGTCTATAAACATCTACCCCCAGTAATAAGGGTTTTGGCTTTTATATGGCTGAGTGTCATATAGTGTTAGAAAAATTTTGTGATTTGTTATCTAAGTGTCTACCAGTAGGTTTTTTGCAAGCTAAGAAAAAATAAAAATACTTTCTATGTATCTATATATGAGAAACATCCTCGATGTTCCTGCCAACTCAGCTCTTTTGAGGGAACTGCTTTATGTTAGAGATGAGGATTTTTTCCCTCGTGCCTGCAAAGGGCAGTGGGAGGCAGCCCAGTCTGTTCCACTGGTCAGCCATGTCCTTCAAACCTTTTGTTTATGTGGCCAGGTATAGTTTTAATTTTTTTTCAATATCCTTCGATTGTAGTGTTTGGAATGGTTGAGAGAATACAGTGGTGTCTGTGGTGGTTTGGGTGAGAGTGGCCCCCTAGGCACAGACGTGGTCACTAGGCAGTGGCACCACTTGGTAAGTCTTAGGAGGTCATGGCCTTGTGGGAAGAAGTATTTCATTGAGGGTGGGCTCTGGAGTTTCTAAAGCTCAAGCCAGGCCCAGTGTCTCTTTCCTCCCGCTGCCTGGGGATCAGGATGTAAACCTCTCACTTTCTGCAGCACCTTGTCTGCCTGCCAGCTGCCATGCTTCCTGCCATGATGGTACTGACCCTGTGAAACCTCTGAAATTATAAGCCAGCCCCAATTAAATGATTCCTCTTTGTAAGAGCTGTGTTGGTCATGGTGTCTCTTCATAGCAGTTGAACACTGAGTAAGACCATATCCAATGTGCAGGAAGAGAAAGGAATCGGCCATATAGTTTCTATGATGAGGCAGTGAGGACATGGACTCACGCACTGGACTCTGCAGGCACCCTAAACTTGAACCCAGATTCTAGAGTGAACCTGCGCACCTGTTCAGTCTATTGAGGTGCTTAATGGCTCGTGACGCAGGCAGAATCCAACTTGCCACACATCCTGTAAACCGAGTTGTATTAAGAGCAGTCACTTCTGCTACCCGTGCCATCTGTGGCTCACACGTCATCTCTGGATGTAATGCCAAGGAGAAAAATGCAAGAAAAACCTCTGGCCCACAAAGTAGAAATGCTTCCTGTTTCAAATCTGGAGCATCCCGTAAGAGCTGATTGACGTCAGGTCCATGGTTAAGAGGGAAGATGCCATCCACGAATACATCATTTAGGTGATCTATCCCTGCGGAAAATCTGGGATTCCATAGAAGGCCAAAGACAAGGAGCAGCGTGACCATTGACCCAACACAAAGAAGGAGCCTGAGAGGAAATGTGAGAATTAGGGAAGAAGCTGAGTGAGAAGAGAGCAGGAGGAGTCAGGAGAGAACACCCTAAAGTACTCGTGTGTGTTGGGGGACACAGCTGGGAAAGGAGATAAAGCCACAAGGGATCCAACTTATTTGAGCATCCAACTGCCAACCATTGGGGCTGGCCAGTCAGACCTCAGGGTGGGCTGTGAGTTCCACTGGGAAGGTGCGCCTTGTCCTCCCCTCCAGGGCTACCTGCCTAAGAGCAGTGCTGTGCACTTCCCTGTTCCTTTTCTTATTGTTGCAACAGAATCTCTGGCAAAGCCACCTACGAGGGAAGGGTGTGTCCCCACTAGTGTGCAGTGAGTCCTTCCCAGTGAGAAAGCTATGGTTGCAGGCCTCTAAGGCAGTGGCTCACATTGACTAAGGCTGACTCTGCTTGCTTTCTCCTTTCTATTCAGCCTGGATCTCAGCTCGGGGGATGGGGCCAGCCACAGTATCTCCTAGGTAGTGCTAGATGGGTCCTGTTGGGCTGGTGATCAATGTTACACTTCACAGCACTTGTGACCCTGAGTCCTCTGGCTCCCCAGATCCTTCAGTAAGTACACATGCTCATGTTGTAAGGCTGCCTGCAAGGTGACCATGCAGAGAAGGCCCGGGGTTCTCCCAGATGCTCAGGGTATTACTGACCAGTTCTGCACCAGACAAGGCTGGCGATTTCTTCCCTACTCATACCTGATGACAGACTTCTTCTCTTGCCCCCAAATGATTGTTTACCACAAAAATGTTTGGAAAGGGATAAATAACCAGGCAAGATCCATATGTGTAATTATTTTTTCCCTCATTCTTCCAGGAATTTTTCTTTAAATGCGGAGCACACCCAACCTCTGACAAGGATACATCTGTAGCCTTGAACCTGATCACCACTAACAGCCGCAACATCACCTGCATAGCGTGCACAGATGTCAGGTAAGGCTCTGGGGGCAGGCCCGCCGTGTCCTGCTGTCCAGCCTCCTTCCTCGGATGCCTCTCCCCATGCACATCTATTTCAGCCATGCCACCAAATCTGGGCATATCGTTACTGTGGTAAACTTATTTACAGGGCCAATTACTTGGCTTAGTTAAGTAGTCAAATATGAGCGCTACACTATGTGAGACGAAACACCTAAACATAGTGTAGTCTGAGTTCATCCAGAAATGTAAACTCCTTAACATCAGTAAGCTTTAAAAAACGATGTGAACATTAGGGATGGAGTAACAATTTATGAAAATCACTTATTCTTGCTATCTCTTCCATACACGCGAGTTACTTCACATAGCTGTCGGCATTTGTATGGGGGCTTCTGGTACAGTCCTGTAGCCAAAGTAAATCGTGCAGTTGATTCTGGGCCCAGTTAATTCAAACCCAGGGGATAAAAGGAAAGAAAGATGTGGAGACCGTGATGGAGGGAACACACTGGATGTGGATTCCGGTTTAGGCGTCAAGGTCTGACAGGAGAAACAGAACCTCCGGGATCTGCAGTGTGAGCAGTGGAAAGGGCAAGTCCTGCTCATTGCCGATGCAGGGAATAAAGAAGGAAGCTTCGGTGTGTGTCCTAAGGTTAACTCAGAAGCTCAAGCTCACAGCGCAAATGTGGGAACTTAGTCCCAACTAGGAAGAATGTTTTAATCAAATGCCAAAATGGGTCACTGAGAAAATCCCCAAACCTCTTGTTCTGTGCTTTTAGGCAGAAACAGACACTTCTGTGTTTCCGCCCCTCAGCCTTGGGATTGAATGAGATGGTCCTTTGAATTTGCTTTATGAGTTCATGGTTGGTGTCAATACTCCTGGCTTGGACTTCCCATCCTTTGCTACTTTTGAGTTTTAACACTGGCTAAACAAAGCCTAAGTATTTTAGCAACAGCTGTTGACTGAGCTGTCTCCACCACCACGTTTTCCTTGCTTCTGGTGTTTAGCCACTGCTCTGGCAGGAAGCGCCACAACAGTGCCCACGCACTGCTGTGCTTCACCTGACTTTGGCACAGTGAATGGCCACACATGGAAAGCACTTTCAAAGGACAAAACAATGCTTCCAGCATTTCAGGAAGGAGTCAGCCAGTTCTACAAAGGAGGGCTCACCTCCTCCGATAGCAACAAGTAATTAAAATCACCTTTTGGTTTCTCAAAGGAAAAAATCAAAACATTCATTTTTCTGTAAGTTGAGCACAGCCTACCAGGCAGCATTGATGAAGATGGAGTTGGAATATGAGGGAGGGGGCACAGAGAGATGGCTCAGTGATTAAGAGCACTTGCTGCTCTTCCAGAGGACCTGAGTTCAGTTCCCAGCACCCACAAGGCAGCTCACAACCACCCCTAGCTCTAGTGCCAGGGGTTCTGACACCTGCTTCTAGTCTCTGAGGGTACCCATACACACAGGTGACATGTACACACACATGCACACGCACTCACGCACATGTACAGGCATAGATATAAGTAATGTGACAGAGGCTTATGCTGTCTGATAGTGAGCACTGCCCTCCCATCCCCTTGGTATTAATGACAGACAACCATCTTTAGAACAAAGTTAGCCACCTTCAAGATACTTGGAGAGATAAATGTTGGAAAAGTTATGTTGTTAAAATCAAATTTTTTTCTAACCTTACTCTATATGATTTAATGGACACAACCGTTCAGTCCAATTCCAATGTGTACATAGATTGGAGGAAGTCTCTTCTGTAACCCCAGGGACACCTTGAAGGAAGGATGGAGAAAAAGACTTTGTAGGGACATCCAAGGCTTGAACATCACACACTGTACTTTGGTTATATTGTCCCCCTACCCCTTTAATAATGTTTTGTTTGGGGAAGTGTGGTAACCCAGCAGGAAAAGGTACTTGTTACACATGCCTAACAAGGTGAAGTCAGTCCCACAAGCCTCAGTGGAAGGAGAGAACCAACTCCACAGTTGTACTCTGACCTCCACATTCACTCAGAACATGGAATGCACGAACATGTGTGTGCACAAGGTTGCACACACACACACACACATGCACACACACACAGCAATAAATGAATCTTTATGAGACTGCATCCAAACATGGAGTGATGATCACATTGTCTGTCTAGGCAGCCATCCTTGGCGCCATGGAGAAGCCATACTATTCAAGCATAAAGTCACTGACTGCATGTTTTTCCCTGAGCACATGGTGTTGGGTGGGAGCAGGCTGGTGAAGACAGACAGCTTTAAATTCTTTCTGCTCTCTTGCAAACTGATTTTCTTAAATTATACCGTTTCAAGGTGACTTTCTTTGTTGGGGTGTGGGGGATGGGCTCTCCAGCATGATTTCCTTCTCTGAGAATGTTCTCAGTTTTGTCCAGACCATTGATAAAGTAGCTTTGTCACAATTACTTAATTTTTTTAAAAGGGTAAGTGGATTCAAGCTGGTCTTATTTGCATATGTGCATATTTTTGTTGTGAGAAAACAGTTCCAAACTTTCTCAGCACAGAACCGCTCCAGTGCACCAGCCCCACTCTGCTCTGTCTGTCTTTGTAGTATGCTCTTTTGTCTTTTAAATTTGTGTTTGACCATAATCCTTACCCTGACCCCAAATCATAATTGAATCCTGTGGACTTTACTTAAAATTTTTACATCTTCTGGGAGATATAAACAAGAGCCGTAATGAATACAGATTTAAACGGGTTCTCTTTTCTTCCTGTCTTCCAGAGTTTGCTTTATCTTTGTGTTGGTTACATAGCAGCATGGAAAAACAGAACTCCCTAGTCCCCAGTGCTGTCTGATGCCTAGCGAGCTGCCCTGTGCATCCCCTCCACTCATCCCTGCTGCATTTTCAGTGCTGTGGACAAAGTAAAAGGCAGCCATGTTTACACAGCCAAAATTTAACCTGCCAGAAACAAGCCGTAATAACCAGCTCCCGGCATGCCATTAGATCCAAGACGTGGCACTCGAGACTTATAGGGCTTGCTGTTTTGGTGTCATTGCCATTTGATAATACATAGTGTCATGATTTTCTTGCCTTCAAACCCATCTTCAAATCCACTCACTCTCTGAAGCAAAGCTACCATGGATTGCATACTGCAAAGATTTACTCAGGCCTGGAGATGAGCAGAGATTTATCTCAAAGCCCATACTCTTGCTCCTTGGGACAGTGATTTAGCTCTCCTTTGTTCATTCATTCCCTCACACAGGGATCTTTCCGGCATTCCCTATGGATCCATCCAATATGTCTTCAGCTTCTCTTCTCAGGTCATGGTTTTTTCTGGTTAGACCACACTTTGCAGTAAGTTGTGAGTCAAAATCAAATTCTTTATCTTATATCAAAGCACTATATAGAAACCTCCACCATTGTAACCCTTTCTTAATATTCCATGGTCGAGTGGTAGCTAAGATTTTATCCAGGAACTCAAGGCCAAGCCCACTGTGCTGTTTCGTGTGACTTATTTCATCAAAGGACTCTGTGACTGCAATGAAAACCCGATGGGAGTTTTTGCACCTCAGAGCCTTGGGGCCCTCGTTTGTGATCATGGAGCTTTGTGCTTCTCCTTTGAGTCCCCAGCAGTGTGCCTGCTGTCATGTGCTGAATGAAGCAGGGCCAATGCACCTTCAGGAACGGGGAGGGGGAGTGTTGTATTCGTGCTCCCTTGGAGGGAAGGGAAAAGCAAATGACACGACTCATTGGGTGAATAATACCACAGTTATATCACAGAGAAGCAAATGGCATGATTGAGTGGCTGGAGAATCCACATCTGTATCTCAACAATTCGGTGAGTGCTGTAGAGCAGAGAGGGTAAAGAGGAGACCTCAAAGATGCCTCCTCCAACTCAAGTGGGGCTCCTTCACACTGAGGGTCACTCCTCATGGGTGTAGATCCTATCGCTTCTCTTTTGTTTAAGTGTGTGTTTCTCTCATGTGTGTGCATGCACATCTATGTATAGTTTTGTGCGTCTACGTGCAGGTGGCCCCAGGAGTCAGAAGAGGGCGGTAGAGTTCTTGGAGCCTGAGTTCCCAGTACTTGTGAACTGTAGCTCCTGGAGATCACACTCTAGTCCCATGCAAGAGCATCAAGTGCTTGGCCACACAGAGCATCTCTCCAGCCCCAAATTCTAGCACTCTCTTTTGTGAAGCTTTCTTGAGAAAGTACGGCATACCCGTGCTGACACACTCTTGTTAGGGAGCCTCTACAGCCCGTTCTCTTCAGCAAGCACTACCAGACATTCTCAGTCACCTGCTCTCTCCTGAGACTGACATGTAGCGCTTCATGAGCATGGGCTCCTCAGTTTCAGTCCTTGAAAGTCATTTGGGTTTCCATTTTTTTAAAGAATACAACTTTTTTAAATATTTATTTATTATGTATACAATATTCTGTCTACATGTATGCCTGCAGGCCAGAAGAGGGCACCAGACCTCATTACAGATGGTTGTGAGCCACCATGTGGTTGCTGGGAATTGAACTCAGGACCTTTGGAAGAGCAGGCTATGCTCTTAAACGCTGAGCCATCTCTCCAGCCCCGGGTTTCCATTTTCCCCCCCAAAGATTTAGATAATTACGATGTCTACAGTGTTTTGGCTGCATGTATGTTTTGCCTGCAGGCCAGAAGAGGGCACCAGATCTCGTTACAGACAGCTGTGAACCACCATGTGGGTGCTGGGAATTGAACCCAGGACCTCTAGAGGAGCAGCCAGTGCTTTAACTGCTGAGCTATCTCCCCAGCTCCTTGGGTTTCTATTTTAATAGAGGAGAATTTGATTCTAAGTTTTTTAAAGATTACCTCTAATGGTGACAAACAATGTCCATTCAGCTATCTAACCTACTGAAGGCCTTGTAATTTGCATGGATTTTGCTGTGGCCGCTCCTCGTTCTCACTTACAGGGCTGGGTTTTCGCTGTGAGTGAAAGACGAGTCTCCCTGAAATGCTGGGAGGTGGATTCTCATGTAGAAGGGGAAAGTAGTCAAGCTGGGGTCAGAGGCAG